AGCTATAACCTGGCGACGGCTCCGTGGCGCAGTGGCTTAGTAATCAGTTGTTGCGCTGGGGGCCGCGGGTTCGAATCTCGCACGGAACAAGTATTTGTATGGCCTACAAATAATTGTTCCGGGTCTGGATGTTTGTCCTTGTGCAATTTATGTTTGTAAACTGCCTCCACGACACAGGAGAAAATCCTAGTGTGGGGGTAACGTTTTTTTACAATTGAAATTGAAAGATTGAACCTTTATACTTCTTGTTGATTTTTGTATTACCTTTATTAAAGTTACCCTTACGTATAAATAAATATAATTACGTATGTAGAAATAAAATTGATTTTCATCCTCATCAATCATTGCGGCGAGGATAATGTCTGCCAGCATAAGTAATAAGCAGGCTAAGTTACAAAGTGCTCAGTTCAAAAATTTGTAGGTAGGATATGATACTTTTCAATACGTGACACGTAAAAATTAATAATAATCAAAAACACATCTACGAAACATCCTATTTATTTATTTATTCTTTATTGCACCAAATATTTGTACAAAAGGCGAGCTATCTATTTATTTACCTATAGTGAATAGGTATCTTTTAAACTGACAATTTTCAATGCTTCGTTTTTAATATATAATTAATTATAAAATTTCATAATTAGATAATATATGAAAATACATAATTCTAATATAATGCAACTAATATACCGAATAAAAAAATTAAAATACATTTATCGTTGTACGCTGTGTGTATTTCCATAAATTAGTTTATTGATGTTGAAAAAATAATACTACATAATAGGTGGCGTCTTAAATAAGCAATATATTGAAGCGAGCGGCGTGCCGCCGGCAAATGCTCAAGGTCGTTCGCATGGAGTAGCCCCTTAAGGTGGTAAAGAATAACTTCATGGGGAAACCTAGATGTCTGAGTAGTTAAAATAGTCGTGGAGATGTGAAAACCGTTAACATGCATTAAAGCATTGCAGCGCACTCTATTTTTCTGCCAACAAAACACTATAGGAAATGAGGAGCCCTGTGCACAGTAGTGAGACGTATATTAGCTGCTATTTTACTTTTTTTACCTTTAATGAGATTTATAATCACTTTGTAATTTAAGGTAGCTTACATATTTTCGGACATATTAAGATATTTGTGACAGTCTTGGTTTCATAGCTCATATGAGTATTTTTAAATTAACTGGCTCTTTTTTTAAAGCAAATTTTACTGTTTTAAACAAAGGTCCTTTTTATTTTACTTGTCAAAGGCGGTAATCCATCTGATAAAAACTTAAATTTCATGGTACGTAAGCATTATTAAATATTTCAGCATATTATATATTAATTGCAATTTGAAGTGTCGATTTACCACGTTCTCGGCGGTTAAGGAAAACCTGCATATCTGAGAAGTTTCCCAGTTGAGGTCATCCCGCATTGGAATCAGCGCAGCGAACACTTTTTTTGGCCCAAAAACTTTATGCCGCCATTGCCCAGTAGTAACGTGTATTTAAGCTGCTACTTTTTACTTTTCATGGGGCAATATATGCAGTTTTTATTTCATTCATATTTTCGGATATGTCGCTTTTTTGTATTCACTCTAAAAAAAGTCCACTGAAATAAACATAGGCCTCCCGCATAAATTGTCAAGTAGCTGGATATTTGCAATAGTTGCCACGCTTGGTAGGCTGCTTGGCAACCGCAGCTATTATTATTTTGATCTTTTGTCAGGAAGATGATGCTGCCCTATGTCATGTCATGCCCTAGGTCATATGTCACCTCTTACGACGGTACGATATGAGGTGGCGGATTCTCTTTCACCGCCACAACAAGGCGAACATTTTTCTACTCCCGTTCATGAGATTAGTGCTTCCCAGGTTCACTGTGAATAAAATTTATAAGGAATAAAACTAATTTTAAGGATCTTATCGCGTTTAATTTTAACTTTTTTAATTCCCGATGTTTTGGGCACTTTACAGCACCCATGGTCACAGTAGGACTGAGGTTTTTGACGACCTGATATCACAGTTAGAATGGAATAGAATAAGAATAGAATAGAATATAATAGAATAAATGCAGAAGTAGGCTTGGGTTTGAATTTTAATTTATTAACTATGGGGCTCTTAGCAGATCTTACCACTCAGCCATCTTCCCTATTAAAATTAGGATGTGTTTTTTAATTTCAATAGCTCCGCGAATCATCATTGGTAGGAATCGGTGTTCTATTACAAGGATTTGTATATCAGAGCCGATATGATGGTTGTGACGATACTAAACATGTTGACATACTTTAGATTTCCCGGAGCGACAGTGTTTCACATCAACTATAATATGTTCTTTTACGCGGGTTTTTATGGAACTTTCATCCAAAGATGCGTAAAAAAAACCTAACGTAAAAAAGTTAAAATTAGACGTGATAAAATCCGTAACATTAGTTTTATTTCATGTGTAGTATACTGTATACTAAATTTTGAAGTCTACTCCAGCGTAAAAAAAATATCTACATCTATTTTATGGTGCCAATCAATAATAAATAGGACCAATGATATATATGAATAAAATATCTCAAATAAACATTATGCCGTAAATTGATAGAAGACCGTGAAACTTATCATTATTTTGTTAAAACTAAATTAACTTTAATTATGAATGAATGTAAAGAGTAAAATGTAAATAATAGATAATAATAAATTTTGATTACGAGACAAATGCATGCAATGCGAAAGCGCAAGGTATTTTCTACTATCGCCTAAAATTTACCTTTCTTATCGATACATCGGAAGACACGCCCGATATAAAAAATTGTAGGTGTTTCTAGACATATATATTCACGTGTTCCTGTAACATATTATACCTATCTATGCCAAATACCTAATCTACGTCGAATAGTATTTTAGAATTCAAAAAAAAAATCTTTGACAGACACAGAGACACAGACACCGAGGTGACTCTAAAAGTGATCGAATTTCGCTAAATTTGCTATGCGAGCGAAGCCGCGGGTAAAAAGCTAGTTTTTATATATAAAGATTCAATAGTTGGTTCTGCACCATGTTCCAGTCTAATAAGTATAGAGCCGACTCTATACCGGTATAATTAATACAAGATATGAGGAATTTCATCTTTTCTCGAGGTTACATACACATCTGTAGCCTTCTTTGTATGAAGTTCGTGGCAGATGTAGGGCCGGATTAACCATGTCGGGCCCTTAGGCAGTACAATTCTCGGGCCCCCTTTTTCAGCCATTTGAAGATCATCAGCTCTTCTTAAGCTGATGAAGGAATATAATAGCATCAGCGGCATCCCCGAACTTATGCTTTACTCCTCAGGAACTTAAAGCAACAGATTTGTATTTGGGCTCATTGAAATGGCCTAAATGACTAGGTTATAGATAAATGATGATCCAGGTCAGATGATTAGGTATAGTGTATGAGATAAGACCGTCTCAAGTTCTCATGATGGAGCAGGAAAGCAAAATAAGATGCGGGTGCTTTCATTTTAATTTTATTCTTGTTAAATGCAATAAAATATAATAAACGAAAGTAAATAGTGTTGATACGGGTATTTTAATTTTAACTATATTGTTGTTAAATGCAATAAAAAGATAGAACAACAACGAATGAAAAGGTAATTCTTTATACACCGGCCGTGTCAATATTTCTCAGGAAAACGTCAGTTCGATTACCGGAACAAACTTGTGTCTGAAGTCAAGACTGTTAAACAGTCTCGGATTGTGGGCGACTATATCTAGGTCAGTTCAATCCCCAGAAGACACAAGTTTTCGCGTTTACCGCTAAAAAGAACCCCTTTGTCGTATCTCCTCAGTTTTAGGGCACTCCCCTTGTTGCCTCAGCCAACGGAATCTTGCACACCACCTTGTGTCGGACACTTTTTTCAGGACTTAACCTTTTTCGAGATAATTGATAGAATCAGGCATTACTTTGCGGAAATACATTATAATGGGGTTGTTATAAATTATACTACTTGCTGACGCAACCGCCAGAGCGTCAGCAAGTAAGCAGTATAAATAGCATTAGTTTCGCTCGCCGCTCACTTAGCGGCCAGCCTCCGCAGAGTCTACTTCACCTGAGGATGCCTCGTGTAGAGGCGAAACACGTGTCGTATTTTCGAGAGTGGTGTGTCGTGCCTAGTGTGGTGGTGCTGGGATTGACGGCGACGGGTATAGTGCGCGCGATTGAGGGTGGGTGGGAGGTCCCCTAGGGTGTGTGGGAGGTCCCCTTAAAACTAGGCAGGACACATCATTTTCTTTCTTTACGCGGAATTAAGCAAATTAATTTATAACAAACCCCCCCCTTTTTCGAGATGTTTCTGCGTAATTGCCCAACGATGAGTTGACGCCGAAAAAAAATTGATTAGTTTCTGTACAAATACGAAAAATAAGATTGCTCCAACGCTGCTCTCCCCAGCACGTATTCCAACCAGTCCATAAAAATTCAGTGAGTGCGCTACACATGAAACGTAGTTTGCGAGATTAGTTATTTTCTAATATGGGCCTGGAAACCATTGTCTATACATACTTGACCCCCAGAGATATTTGATGCATTATAAGTCTGGCCTCTCGCATTTTTTATATCAGTTATATTGATTTAAAAAATGTAAAACTGTAGCAGCCAGTTCTTCCCAGTGGGTCCAGCCAGTATTTCATCAACTGACAGCATGCATCGCAAAAACGCAATTATACCTATTGTCATTGAGGATACAAATTTTCTAATAAAATTTCTACTGTATGAAACATTTTCAATCACTTTTGTGCGCGCGCGGGGCCCCTAGGCATTTGTCTAATCTGCTTGATGGTTAATCCGGCCCTGTGCAGATGTCCATTCATGGTCTACAATAGCCATTTACCATTAGGTGGACTGTAAATTTGTCAATTTAATATTATAAAAGACTGATTAATAGTAATAGGATAGTTTACTGTAGGAAATGGTAATAAATGGTTTGGTCTTTAAGAGAATGAGATTAAAAACAACTCGGTCATTTGTTTTTTAAATTTTATTACTCATAAAATTACAGTACAATCACACTCTGCTTAGCTTGCTGTTTCGCTTTTTGGCGGACTTGTGCGGCGATTCTGTCTAAATCCCGTCTGCCTTGAAATGTGAGGATGCGACCACCATCAGGGACCTTTTCTACCAATTTTAGAGCTTCAAGTGCTTGCAATGCCTTTCGTGCAATGCTTCCTGATGATCTGCAAAAGAAAATAATATTATGTGATTGTGTTGTCATGTAAGATTTGAACATATTTTGTGGACAATAAAAATGCATAATTCAACAGAGATGCTACTCAAAAACAATATTTTTCATCAGCCTGTTATGATAAGATTCCAATAGGCGGGACGGATTGTACCGCAAGGCTGCGCAGAAATTCATCTCCTATAAATTTTGTTTGAAACTGCGTCTATTGGACGCGAGGCGGGCTGATCGTGCCGAGCACATTTTTCCTTCACTACAGAGAGGGTTGGGGATTTCACTTTATACCGCCCAAAAGCATTCGACGCTCGCTCCAAAACACGCGAGTTATGTCATGATGTGCGATGGTGAGATTTAGCAGCTGGAATTAGTCCAAACAATTTCAATTTTTAAAATGCAAAAGAACACAACATCTCTCACAGCTCCAGTGAGACAAGCAGATCAGAATGAACTTGGTCGTCGACGATTCGAGCTGCTATACGTTGCATGCGTTTAAGTGGAATGAAGCTAGCACTGGGGTGCCCCAGCTCAGCGATGAGTTCAGTATTCTTTTTATTTTTTTATAGGAGAGGGGGAAAACGAGCATGCGGCTCACCTGATGGTAAGTGACTACCGCCGCCCATGAACAACTGCAACACCAGGGGAATCGCAGATGCGTTGCCAGCCTTTTAAAAAGGAGTAGGATCTTTTCTAGAAGGTCCCTAAGTCGTATCGGTCCGGAAAAATCGCTGGTGGTAATCGACTCCACAAGGAAGTTGTGTGAGGGAGAAAACTTCTTCTCAATCGCACAGTGGTGGACCGCCAATCATCCAGATGATATGCGATGGTGAAATTGAGCGGTTGGAACTATACCGAACAATTCCTCAGAGCACTCCCCGAGGTACATGCAATAAAATACGCAAAGAGATGCAACATCTCTACGCAGTGTCAGTGAGTAAAGCGGGTTGTAAAGAACTCGGTCGTCGACGATTTGAACCGCTCTGCGCTGGATGCGGTCAAGTGGAAGGAGGTGACACTGGGCAGCCACTGCCCAGAGATGGGAACAGTATTCCATGTGAGGCCGAACCTACACCTTATAAAGTTGTAGGCAGTGAGCCGGCATGAAATACTGTCCCGCTCTGCTGAGCATGCCAAGCTTTTTAGAGGCCAATTTGGTCTTCTCTTCCGAGTGACCATGAAACTGCACCTCACTCGATATGTCGACGTCGAGGATACCTATACTGGCTGAGACAACAAAGGGAGTGCCTTGAAACTGAGGAGATACGACAAAGGGATTCTTTGCCCTTGAGCGCGCAAACTTGTGTCTTCAGGGGATTGAAGTGGACTAGATTTAGTCGCACCCAGTCTGAGACTTTGTTCAACAAAGTCTCAGACTTCAGACACAAGTTTGTTCCGGTACTCGGCGACGTTTTCCCGAGAAATATTGGCACGGCCGATGTATAGAGCATCACCAGTGTTGTCATCTGCATAGCAATAAATGTTACTGGTTTGCAACATATCATTGATATGCAGAAGAAACAGCGTTGGTGATAGCATGCAGCCAAAAGAAATTCCATGAGAGACCGAACTTGCGCCCTGTTAAGTTGCAAGTGGTGTACCAGCATAAAATACTTTCCCGTTCTATTAAGCACGCCAAACATTTTAGAGGTCAATTTGGCCTTCCCTTGCAGATGACCACAGAACTCAATGTCATTCAATATGTTGACACAAAAGATTTCAATGCTGGTTGAGGCAATAAAGGGTAGTATCCTAAAATTGAGGAGATATGACAAAGGTTTTCTTTTGAGCAGTAAATGTGCAAACCAATGTCTTCTGGGGATTGAACTAGACTAGATTTAGTCGCCCCCAATCCGATACTTTGGTTAATAAGGCATAATCCTCAACTCAGACACAGGTTTAGCCAGCATTCGATGACAGGCCAGTGTTTAAAGAATAGCCAGTGATGTAACCTACATAACAATAAATGTTACCAGTATGCAAAATTTTATACCATTGCCATGAAGAAGAAACAGGGTAGGCAATAGCATGCAGCTTTTTAGAAAACACCATTATTAACTGCGATCAGCAAGACAAGTGGTAACCCAATTGCATAATTTCTCAGAAAGCCCATAAGAAGCTTCGAAAAGAGCCTTTTGTTACAAACCCGATCAAACGAATTTGCTATATCCTTGCACTTGCTATCTATAAATGCACTCGTAGATAAAAGGATGTTTTTCGCTGTCTATGTGCAGCCAAAGGATGAACAAGACTGCTGATGCATCAAGAACAGATATCCTCTGTGACATATTCGCAAACTGCAGTTCAAGGCACAAGTGTTCTGTTTTGTAACTATGTCGCCTTCTTTGGATGATAGTAGTGTTAAAGTTCGAGTAAAGACACCTGCTGTCGCAGAAATTCATGGCTAGCGTGGCAGGAGTTCCCTTGGAATTGTTGCTCTGCCTGAGCAGTATTGCGTGAAAACTCACTGCTACCCTTCAGAATATGAGCAATGATGTTCAAGAATAGGGTAGCTTTAGCTTGGGTTTGAATGCTTATTGAGGGATTCACCATTTCCAGTGCTGGTAATGAAGAGAGATTAAATAAGAACAACATTAATTCTGCCACAATGTTATGGGGAAGGAAAGGGATTTGGGCCTACAGCTTCCAGCACTTAATAATGTCTTCCAGACTGAATTTAAGTCACAGCGGCTAGTCTCTAATCTGGTCAGGACAAGATTATAGTACTCAGCGCAAGCACAAGTGCACTCTATTACCTCATTTCCAGTCTGATGGGACAGTAATATGACACAACCGGAGAGAGATTAGGCACAGGACCAACAGCTTTACAAGCTTTCAGAGGCATGAGTGTGAAACACCACCTACTTCCTAACTCTGGGCTGCTACTGACAATTTCTTTATAGAAAAACCCAATAACTGATTTCGACCCGTGATTCGTACCTGGAATCAGCAATTGTGTTTATGACCAATAGACCTACGAGGGAGTCCTGCATTTACCAGGCAAAAAGCAAAAGTAAAGTTTCTACTACACTGTGACTGTGAAGGCTAGTACTTCCCTAGTTCGAGCCGTCATAACCATGCCACGACAAAAATTACTGTGTGGCTCTACCACTACTACCACTTTTATAAACAACTAAAAAGCATAAAATAATTTCAGTATAACAGCTTCAAAAGTGATTGCTAAGACACAGTGTATAGAAGAATTAAAGCTCTAATTTCTAAATTTTTATGTGTAAACTAGCTGTTCCCCGCGACTTTGCTCACGTGTTAGGGTTTTTATGTTTTTGTGCAGAACCCTAATTCTTTTTCAAAAATAAAAGTAGCCTAAGTTACTCCTTATGAAATCAGCTATCTGCCAGTGAAAGTTCCGCCAAAATCGTTCCAGCCGTTTCAGAGATTAGCCAGAACAAACAGACAGACAGACAAAAATTTTAAAAATTGTATTTTAGATATGAGTAGTGTATTTACTTTCTTATGCATTTAGTAAGAAACTGTAATTTTGAAATTACAAACAGACGCTTCAATTCTATTTATTTGTATAGATTATTGTATTCTTTTTAGAAAAGTAAATACAGCTTTCACTTTTTAGTTGTTTATTTTACCCTTTAGAATGGACTAAGGAATAACAACAAGAATGTCTTCTAAATAATTACATAAAAAAGTACATCCTCCAAATATATCTTACCAATATGTCATTCTTTGGCAATGGGCTCTAATTTTAGTCTATACAAATAAATAAAATTGAAGTGTCTGTTTGTAATGTCAAAATTACAGTTTTTTACTAAATGCATATGAAAGTATAAATGGTACTTATAACAAAAATTCACTTTTTAAAATTTTTGTGTCTGTCTGTTTGTTCCGGTTAATCCCCGAAACGACTGGACCAATTTTAACGGGGCTTTCATGGCGTATAGCTGCTGTCGTCATAAGGAGTATCTTAGGCTACTTTTATTATAGAAAAATAATTAGGGTTTGTTGCAAAAAAATTAAAACCCTAAATAGCACGCAGGTGAAGTCGCGGGGTACAGCTAGTGTTTAGGAAGTGTTTATATTACCTGCAGAAATGCGATGGTGTGACTCCATTGCGTTTACGGCCTCCAAATATTTTGGTGACAGTTTTCACTCCGACAGGCGAGCGGATATAAATGTGACGTAGAACAGCAGCACAACGAACATAAAACCAATCAGGATCATATGGTGCCAATTCCTTGAACCGACCAGTCTTCACCAGATCCATGTGTTCTGGCACCTTAACTTTACCGGTCCTTAAAAATATTTATAAATAGTAAAAACAAAGTTGAAATATAAAATTAAAACAATTACCATAATTCAAATACTACAATTATGTGTTTATTACATTTAAATAAAAATAAATTTACTTTTTTAAATGAGCAGCTACGGTCTTCACGACCTTATCTTGTTCAACATCCTTCAGAGTAACAGAACGCATCTGAAATTGATAAACAAAACTGCATTACTACTCTTCTTTAGCCATAGCATGGCAAAAATAAAAAAGATGTGATTAATGTGAATTGGTTCTTATAATCTAGTTTTAGGATCTTAAAACATATAAAATTACATTAGGTTAACCGAAGACGGTTCATTATATGAATATTTTGAAAAGCTTTTTAAATGAAAACACCAACTGTACATAAACATTTTAGAAATGTATGGGAATCGTTCACGTCTCCAAAAAAGGTTAGGTTATAAATGTTACAATTCTTAATATTATGAAAATAACAACAATTGTTATAAAATTATAATGAAAATGATTTTATGTGTAATTAATGAAGTAAGTTTTTTGAAACTTAAGTAATAAAATATAGTAAAGTTTAATATATACGAAAATCATAGTGCTAGGGTTCTAATCCACCAAGCATGTAGGTACCTCTAACATTAAAGTATCGAGAATAAAATGCAATACAACTAAAAGATAACCAGCTTTTATTACCTTGCTTAACAAATAACACAATTCTTACTCTAAAATGAGCGAAAACACCAATTTACTGATCAAAAAACCATGTGGTAAAATCACGACACCTACCTTGCCTTGTGTTGGCAACCGGAAGAAAGAAAGAGAAAAAGCATTAAGCAAATGTGTTACCAATTACCATCTCTAAAAAATATTTCCTACTAAATCGATCTACACCTGAAAAAGTTATAAATATTAAAAAATAATGAAAGTTTAAAAAAATACTGAATAAAAATAGTTTTAAAACTCAAAAAATCACTGCATTATAAACTTATCAATAAATATTTTTATAGAATAAAGCTCCACAAATCATAAATGCTATTGTTAAATAACAGAAAACTGTTGGTAGGTAACAGAAAATAGATAAAAATTTCATAGTTCTAGCTTGGTTGTTACCTACATAATTTAAATTTGAAATAAAGATGGGCGATGCAAATCGTATACTGATACGAAATCTATATATTGGTACAATATCTAAAAACCGCTTACTGATTCGTTCCAAAACTATGTATTACAAAATCTGATATATCGCTTCACATCTAACGGTGGGTAGATTCACCGTGTGCGACAGAGCGCGAACGATATAGGTATTCGATACCTCCTCCCGAAACAAGTACAGTAGTAGGAGCGGTACAGCAATTTCTTGCTTGTCGCGTAACCCAATAGTATTTGATTTAGATCTACCCTAATCGTTATAACTTTAAGAACTATTTTTATGCATAGACATAGTATCTTATAGACTAAACATTCAGTGACGTCATCAGCGTGTGAAAGGAATGCACGTATATAGTTAGACATAAGAGTAAGGGAGAAGCAAATTTATACTTCTTGTCTTTTTCTAGGTATGCGTTTTTGATTGTTTTCCCTCCTTTATTTGACATTAACGATGTCAAGCTCTTTTGAATAATATTGATATTATAAGCAAACAGATAATTGAATTTAGTGTTTTTTGTGGATCTTAGTTATTAGGTAAGGTGAAAAAGATGGTAAGTTGTAGCATTTTAGGATGCAACAGCATCAGTCAACGAAAAATTGATAATATTACCTTTCATCGGTAAGTTTGTTTTGTGCTTACATTTGCTACTTGTACTGATTAATATCTATAGTTTTCAATATAAAGTGTAACATTTCATGTTTTTAATGAACTTTGTGATGTATTTTGTCAAATATTTGGACTCCCAAATTGTAAATTCTTCATGATAATGCTCCTTAATTTGAACCGTCATTCGAAAGCTTAAAGTCATAACAAACGTGTACTTTTTGATTTGGTAGGATTATAGAAACTTTAGGGATATCAGCGAGTACAATAATGTTTTCGCATTGTTCAATAATAATTGTTATTGTGATTAGTAGTTATGTCCATAAATATGAATCACATAATGTTATACATATACATACACTTTTATGTTCAGCTTTAAAGGAAACTCCTTATTGCCCTACAACTCTTAAATCATTTTCCATATTACATAGACTTCACAAATAATATGTAAGTATCAACCTGAAAACATGTTTGGATACAAGTACATAAATATTGGGCAAAGTATATTTAATTTCACAAAATATGTATTGCCTGAAATCAGATGCACAAAACCTTATTGCATTCCATTAATTCTATTATACATTAGCAACAATTAGATTACAATATTTATTTAAAAAATGTCATGCTAATATAAAAATAAATATAAATATAGATAAAATAATAACTAAATAAATAAATAAGTCTTAATCTTAAGGTACACAATAACACAACAACATAAGATAATATTCTCAATTAATGATGTAGAAAAAATTTGATGATAATATACTTACCGTTACCATTAGTCAGTATCAAAAGTTATAGGTTTTGTGATAGTTGCCTAGCTTGGCAGGATAATTGGCAACTACAGTTATTTGAAGACAAACTGTGTGGAAGGTCTATGTTCAGCGGTGGAGGACATTTGTTAGGTTGTAAATGTATTAATTAACAATATCTAAAGCTTAATATGTACATAATTTTTTTTAATGTTTGGTATGAATAATATTATCATTACATTTACATATACTTGCTATTTAAATAAATCAATTGTTATGGTTATAATTGTTATAGGTATTGTATTTATGCACAGATACACATACTTGATTTTTTTTTGTTAAATACCTTGATATAAATGTGTACTATTTATTTAATATATTAATTTCTTTTAAATATATTATTTCACAGCTTTCCTAAGGAATCTGCTATCCGTAACAGTTGGATAATCGCTACTGGTAGTGCTTATAGGTAACCAACAAAACTTAGCAGTGTATGCTCAAAACATTTTAAGCCTCATTGTTTTAGGTGGACTAAATATGCTTAACTTATGTAATTTATAATATAATTAAGATAATTTTTTAAATGTTATAATTTCTTGTTGTATCTTGTTGTTTCTTCATAAGTGATATAAGTTTGATCTTGTTGGTAGTTATGATTTTTGACATTGTTCTGTATGTATTAAAAATTGACTAGCATTGCTTATTTTATTTTCAAATGCTAACATTCTGTATTATTATGACTTGTAATAATTGGGTGGCATGACAATGACAAAATATTTACTTATAGATGTATTGATTAAACATGAATCCTCATTTACAAATGTTGGAACTTTAGCTGTACTACCATGTTTTATGCAAATAAAGATTTAAATAAAATAAATAAATAAGTAATTTAAAATCCTGACCTGAATATACAAATGAATAATTTATTATGCAATAATAATTGTAAAACTGACTAGGAATGCTTACCAATGGGACATTTAGTCCACCCTTAATCCCTTTTATAAAGGTGTTATAAACATTAATGTGTAAATAAATTAAGAAATAATAATTTATAATATTAATTAAGAAATAAGAGATAAGTATTACCTATCTAAATATAGTTTAAGAGTGTACCTTATTATTTATACCATTAAAATATATATATATATATATATATATATATATATAGATTTTGTTAAATTTGTTGTTTATTAATGTGATGAAAAATTAATAAATAATCGTTTGTTTATTTTAATTTTATTGAATTATATTTAATATATAATTGTGTTTTCATTTGTTTTCACATTGTTAATATTTCTAAAAGTTGTGTAAGTACGCAAAATTTGTTCTTTTTCCTTTTTAAATTTGAATATATTTTCATTTAAATAGAATATATATCTTTACAGTCTATCAAGAGTCCACTGTTGAACATAAACATGATTATAGTTATTTGGCATAGTTTCAACGCTTGGAAGCGGGTTGTCAACCATTATTTAGCTGTTATCAGGACAATGCTGCTGTTTATCTTCTTTGATGTTTCCCTATGTCGCCTCATACACCACCCATGGAATGATATGAGGTAGCAGATAATCTTACACTGCATGGTAAATTAAAATAGAATATTATTAAACATTCGTTTTTATTTTATATACCAACACATTACAAAAAAAAACCGTTTGTTGATACTTTACAACGTATATTAACTAAAACATTTTACCACCTTAACCATTAGGTAACATGATTAAGCCACCTAACCATAAGTAAGTCACTTAAAAAGGCCTTCCATAGATATCCTCATAGGGTGACTTGCCATAGTTGCCACGCCTGCGTGAAAATATGCGTTATGTTGGTTGGCCACCGCAGTTTTTTATTATTTTAAGTTTTCATCGGGAAAGTGCTGCTGCCCCATCCCCATCTTGTATTATTGCTTACGACGCGGGGTAATATCATCCCGTGTACAGACAAATTCTCTTGTACGCCACAACTTGCCGCACACAAGACACTAACTTGCAAAACATGCAGGAAATCGCGGGAATAGGCTCATAACCGTATTTTGTACTACAAAACCTAAGTGGAAACCCTTTCCTTTCGAAGGTCTGTGTTCAGCACTGAACTTGTGATGGAATGATATGTTAAAACATTATTGATTTTTTTTTTTGTAAAAATAACAAAACTCGACTCATGGAAATTTTTGTTTATTATTTAATATTTTTATTCTCAATTAATATTTAAGTACATTAATAACATATTGTTATTTATTAGCGATATCACACTTTGTGCTATTAGCGTCTTCACTTAGTGCCATCGAAATCCAAAGAGTTTATTGAATGTCCAGTAAAATCGTCGATGCGCCGTTGAATACAGAATGATGATTCTGTTTTTACGCCGTTTCCGCCCGTAGTTTTTGTCACAGAATGTATTTTCAAGAGAAATTAATTAATCGTCTGAATTATAAAAGAACATTTGTTTATGGCAACAATTAAGTTTTTGTATGAATGTAAGTGCTGTGAATATAAATAAACCCATAACGGGGGAAATGAAACAATATCTGGTAACCCAGTGAAAGTACCTCCCGCCTATTTCTATCTCAAAAGCATACGCGAATGCTTTATCTAGTCAATCCTCTATCTACGTTTTTATGACATCGTTACGTTATAAACTTATTAACTTTAATCTTATGCGTATGAGTTTTTGGGTGTAAAGTTTGATTTCTGTTGCGTAATAATGATATATTTCAAATCTTATTGTTTTTAAGGCCTAAAACCGAGTGCATATTATATTATTTTATTTAGAATTTGTGGAAGAGAACAGTTGCGCTCTTTATTCTTTTAAATACTTTTTGTGCTGTAAATAAATAATAAAGACACTGTAAATATCTACTCTTTTAATTGATCTATTTATAACTGTTTAATCAAGGTCATATGAAAGTTATTTCTCAAAAAGAATAACCAACTACAACCGACCTTTATGAAAATTAAGTGTATTAAATCTATATATACATCTACAATTCTGATTTGCATCTAATAGGTAGCGTTTTCTCGTCAGTAGCACCTGGCGGATTGGCATCTCTCGAACAAAGTGACGGACCTACTATTCAAGAAATGGGGAACTCCTCAGGTCGACCTCTTTGCCACTGCCTTCTCGAAAGTTGTACCGATTTATGTATCTCGAGACACAACAGACAGATGTATTATTTTTATAGATGCTTTCAGCAGAATCTGGGATTTCGATCTAGCTTGGATTTTCCCACCGCCAGGACTGATGCCTCGTGTGCTGGCACACTTGAACAAAGCAAGGGGTACTTACATCCTAGCTCCACCAAGATGGGAACGAGTTTTTTGGAGGGTGGATCTGAGACGAAGAGCACTGGACCGTCCGATTTGCATTCGAAATTTACAGCATCATCTATCGGACGCGACACAGAACGTTCCTCTCCCGGACGCGCGAAATCTACGCTTGGAGGCCTGGTTGATACGGGGTGGTCAGAAATCACATCTTCATGGGCCCAAGAAGACTTTGAATTATTCAAAGGATCTTGGAGAAAGTCTTCTTTAAAAACGTACGCCGCATCATGGAAAGCTTGGGTAACGAGATGTAATAAAATGAACCTAGATCCGAAGAAACCTGATCCAGCTGATGTAACCCAATATCTTAGTTTTTTACATAGAGTATAACACTTCGCACCTAGAACAATAAAATTACACAAATCTGTTATAGCTACTATGGCTGACCCTTAAGAAGGGAAGAAATTTCCAGTCACCCTTTGGTGAAACATATTATTCGAGCAATAGAGAATTCTCATCCTTCATCGTCGAAGAAATGTATCTGGGATGTCGAACAGCTGATTGCTTGGATGAAAACCTCAGTTATTAATGAAGATAGTCTATTTGAAGTATCCCACCATATGGCACTGCTTCTTTTGCTGGCGTCGGGTAGAAGAATACACGATCTTACTCTTCTAAGGATTCCGTTACCTTTTGGCCTGTATATGGTTCAAAAACAGATAAGATTAATCATCAACAATCAGGTTGGCATTTATCTAAAGATTCGATTAAGTCTCTAGATCACATATATTGGACGAAAAGACTGATTGATTTGTCAGCCTCTAGAAGACAGGCAAGAAACAAATTGACATCTTTGTTTGTATCTACACGCGGAATTGTAAAGTCTGCAACTAGAGCCACAATTGCAGGATGGGTAAAATCTGCTTTAAAGCATCTTGGTATTGATTTTTCGCCTGGAAGTATAGGATCTGCCGTAGCCTCCTCAAGGCAGGAGAACAATGTTCCTTTAGATATAATCATTAAAAATGGAAATTGGAAATCTGATAAAAATGTATTTAAGTTCTACTTTAAAGAGATAATTAAAAAGACATCTGGTGCTCATCCAGTTAATGACTTAGTTTGTTCTAATTTTAAAGCTATCTAGATTGTTTTAATGTTTACATTTTTTAATTTAAAAAAAGGCAGTTGATTTACATACACGTTTATTTTATTTTAAAACTATATATTATTCACAGTACGCTAATCCTGCGTCGTCAGAAACTAAAAACCTCTCATTATGGTCAAGCCGACGGCACAGACCATGAAATAAGGAACGTTTTCCCCCAAAGGGAAGAAAACGATATATTTCATGTCTTGCCTAGGCTTGACCAGGATAAGCTCTTGACGACTAGTGAGAGGTACTGAGGACGCGGGCGCCGTCGCTACACTGCCCCGCCTCCCGCGGAGGGAGAAGCGCCCACGACGGCGCTACCTAGACGAACGCAAGCATTTATTTGAATGTATGGGTAATATATGGATAGATACAGTAAGTGTTATCTCATTATGGTCAAACCTAGGCAAGACATGAATCGTTTTCTTCCCTTTGGGGGGAAAACGTTCTTTATTGCGCGTGCGTTGATATTGATAGGTATTTCACCCGCGTAAACGATTTCCGGACTGATCTGTTTTTTATATTGCGAAATTAAGTATCCGCCGTGAGTGACTTGTCTGGTGTGCGATGTCTTACTCAAACGAGGAATATTTTAATATGTTGATATGTCTCGGGAAATGTGACTGCAATTATACAGAAGCACGAAGACTTTATGAGGAGCGCTTTGCTACTCCACGAAATATACCATTGCCGTCGGCGAAAACGTTCTAACGATTTCACATTCGTATTGTTACGAGCTTGGGGTCCGAGACAATTAAAAACTGCCGAGTGAATTACCAAAATTGACACTATAATTACAGATCACTAATTAAAATTTAAAAATAAAAAATCAAAACACTAATAATAAACACAATTGTACTACTGATCACTTTAGTTGCAGTTATCTATATCACTTCGAAGTATTCGCTTATATCGCCAATGGGTCACACCAACATGATCTAATGGGACAATAAAACCTATATAGCTTTAAAGCTATATTTATGAAAATAACAATAGTTTTTGTTTCATCCAAATTGGTGCATAAATATAAAAGTTATAACGTTTTAAAATTTCGCAATTTTTTTTAATTTTTAGCCTCTCGTTCTCTGTGACGTGACGTCACAATCCGACAGAGCGAACGCGCAATAGGTACTTGCTAAGTTCAGTACTGACCGCGCGCTCGGAAGTATACGATCGTTTACCTACATATTATATCGAATGTTAAAAATATATACATATACACACACACACACACACACACACACACACACACACACACACACACACATATATATATATATATATATATATATATATATATATATATATATATATATATATATACGTATATATATATATATAAATAAATATTATATATTATGAAAATATATATAATTCAATATAATATATTTTTATGTATGTAATGTAATGTAATACCAACACATTACGATTTCATAATTATGGAGTGAAATATTTAGGTTCATTGATTGATTCTCACAATGAATCAGTTATATGGAAACCCAAACATGAGCAACATAAAAATAAAACCAGAGTAAGTAACTTGCCTAACTGCATTAAATAATACATGTTTAGTTGCGATTTCAGAGTATCTACCTAATGATAAATATTATTATAAGTTATCTCTGCGTTTATGTTGCTCGGGGTTAATGTACTCGTAGCTTAGGGGCTTCTTTTGGGCTATCTTTTATTTTGAAAAAACCCCCAGCTTCCAACTTTTGACATGATATTATGGGGGAAGCAAATTAAAACAGAAAGCCTGCGCAAATTTAATGAACTTTATAAAGAATATAAAAGTCTACACTCAATGAATACATCTCTAGAATCACCAAGAAATGAAAAGAAAGTATGTGAATATGATGAAGATGAAGACGTAATAGACTTTGAGAAACTGTATGCATGTCCCTCGACGTCATCTGGATCTGGATCTTTTCATCAAGGCTTAGTTATAGACAAGTTGGAGGAGTACCTAAGTAAACCCAGAGCCGCCAGTTCGGAAGACATTTTAGAGTGGTGGAGGACGCATGAGACAGAATATCCGACTTTATCGAAGATGGCCCGTGATTTTCTTTCAATACCTGCAACTTCAGTACCTGCTGAGAGATTATTTTCCAAAGCATCATTAGTAATTAGAAAACATAGAAATAGGTTAAGTGATGAGTCAGCGAGATGGTTACTTTGTATTAATTCTTGGTCAAAAGAATTAATATAAAGTAACAGTAATGTCAAAGCTGTTGTGTACTGTTATGTAATTTAATTTGTATTGTATTTTATTTTTTTATTTAAATAAATGGTAAATTGTATAACTCTTTTATTCCATTTCATATAAGGGTCTATCTAATGTTCTCCTCGATGTCGTCGTCGTACATTCTCGGTCTTCCTGAATCTGTACGTTGTTGATCACGGCCATTCACACTACCAGCGTTGTACATACTGTTGCGCGCCACTATTAATGTCTTGTACATGACAACACTAGTTACCACCAGCGCCCTCTATTGTCGAGTAGCAGAACTAGGAGAGTCAAGATCCTTCTAGTAATTTCGGGACCGATATGTACTCAAACATTTTAGATGTCGCTACAGTAGAAGGTTCTGGTAACTATCTGTGGCCCTATATAAGGCCGATATAGACCACGACCGGGTGAGTATTGAATGGGTCTGGCCACCCAATGTTGTTAAGGGTATCAAAAAATTGTATAACAAATTACGAATTCAACGGTATTCTTCTTTTTTTTTTCTACCTTTAAAAATGACTTAAATATTGATGATTAAAGTGGTGTTTTACGGTAAGGGCGACGGCTTTGCTCCGCATCGCGATGTGACGTCACAAACCGTCACGTCGAAGCCACAAGTAGTTTTTATTGTTATATTTTTCTCATATTTTTATTCTCTCCATATTTATTACTCCATTTTTTTCTTGTCATGTTATTTATTTATCAGTAACCTCTATTTTCTGTTTTTTTTTTAATATCTGTTATATCACGCTCCTTGGGATTAAAAGTCCGATATGGAAGATAAAATTCTGTAGATCAAGTTATACCTTAATGCAAAATTTCATCAAAATCAGTTTAGTATTATACGCATTGAATGTTTGCGACCATTGCATTTTCAAAACAGTATATGTACCAACTACAAACGTAATACCGCAGTCAGTTTATTCAAAAGTAAGTCAAAGTAAAACTAGGACCATATGTTTGCAACCACTGACGAACTACGTAACCAACAAAATTTCTTCACGTGTCACTAGGTACTAAATAACAGTACGAGTTGATTAATACTCACTGTATATATATATAAATAAGAAGACCGAGAATGTACGACGACGACATCGAGGAGAACATTAGATAGACCCTTATATGAAATGGAATAAAAGAGTTATACAATTTACCATTTATTTAAATAAAAAAATAAAATACAATACAAATTAAATTACATAACAGTACACAACAGCTTTGACATTACTGTTACTTTATATTAATTCTTTTGACCAAGAATTAATACAAAGTAACCATCTCGCTGACTCATCACTTAACCTATTTCTATGTTTTCTAATTACTAATGATGCTTTGGAAAATAATCTCTCAGCAGGTACTGAAGTTGCAGGTATTGAAAGAAAATCACGGGCCATCTTCGATAAAGTCGGATATTCTGTCTCATGCGTCCTCCACCACTCTAAAATGTCTTCCGAACTGGCGGCTCTGGGTTTACTTAGGTACTCCTCCAACTTGTCTATAACTAAGCCTTGATGAAAAGATCCAGATCCAGATGACGTCAAGGGACATGCATACAGTTTCTCAAAGTCTATTACGTCTTCATCTTCATCATATTCACATACTTTCTTTTCATTTCTTGGTGATTCTAGAGATGTATTCATTGAGTGTAGACTTTTATATTCTTTATAAAGTTCATTAAATTTGCGCAGGCTTTCTGTTTTAATTTGCTTCCCCCATAATATCATGTCAAAAGTTGGAAGCTGGGGGTTTTTTCAAAATAAAAGATAGCCCAAAAAAAGGCCCCTAAGCTACGAGTACATTAACCCCGAGCAACATAAACGCAGAGATAACTTATAATAATATTTATCATTAGGTAGATACTCTGAAATCGCAACTAAACATGTATTATTTAATGCAGTTAGGCAAGTTACTTACTCTGGTTTTATTTTTATGTTGCTCATGTTTGGGTTTCCATATAACTGATTCATTGTGAGAATCAATCAATGAACCTAAATATTTCACTCCATAATTATGAAATCGTAATGTGTTGGTATTACATTACATTACATACATAAAAATATATTATATTGAATTATATATATTTTCATAATATATAATATTTATTTATATATATATATATACGTATATATATATATATATGTGTGTGTGTGTGTGTGTGTGTGTGTGTGTGTGTGTGTGTGTGTGTGTGTGTGTGTGTGTGTGTGTATATGTATATATTTTTAACATTCGATATAATATGTAGGTAAACGATCGTATACTTCCGAGCGCGCGGTCAGTACTGAACTATTGCGCGTTCGCTCTGTCGGATTGTGACGTCACGTCACAGAGAACGAGCGGCTAAAAATTAAAAAAAATTGCGAAATTTTAAAACGTTATAACTTTCATATTTATGCACCAATTTGGATGAAACAAAAACTATTGTTATTTTCATAAATATAGCTTTAAAGCTATATAGGTTTTATTGTCCCATTAGATCATGTTGGTGTGACCCATTGGCGATATAAGCGAATACTTCGAAGTGATATAGATAACTGCAACTAAAGTGATCAGTAGTACAATTGTGTTTATTATTAGTGTTTTGATTTTTTATTTTTAAATTTTAATTAGTGATCTGTAATTATAGTGTCAATTTTGGTAATTCACTCGGCAGTTTTTAATTGTCTCGGACCCCAAGCTCGTAACAATACGAATGTGAAATCGTTAGAACGTTTTCGCCGACGGCAATGGTATATTTCGTGGAGTAGCAAAGCGCTCCTCATAAAGTCTTCGTGCTTCTGTATAATTGCAGTCACATTTCCCGAGACATATCAACATATTAAAATATTCCTCGTTTGAGTAAGACATCGCACACCAGACAAGTCACTCACGGCGGATACTTAATTTCGCAATATAAAAAACAGATCAGTCCGGAAATCGTTTACGCGGGTGAAATACCTATCAATATCAACGCACGCGCAATAAAGAACGTTTTCCCCCCAAAGGGAAGAAAACGATTCATGTCTTGCCTAGGCTTGACCATAATGAGATAACACTTACTGTATCTATCCATATATTACCCATACATTCAAATAAATGCTTGCGTTCGTCTAGGTAGCGCCGTCGTGGGCGCTTCTCCCTCCGCGGGAGGCGGGGCAGTGTAGCGACGGCGCCCGCGTCCTCAGTACCTCTCACTAGTCGTCAAGAGCTTATCCTGGTCAAGCCTAGGCAAGACATGAAATATATCGTTTTCTTCCCTTTGGGGGAAAACGTTCCTTATTTCATGGTCTGTGCCGTCGGCTTGACCATAATGAGAGGTTTTTAGTTTCTGACGACGCAGGATTAGCGTACTGTGAATAATATATAGTTTTAAAATAAAATAAACGTGTATGTAAATCAACTGCCTTTTTTTAAATTAAAAAATGTAGACATTAAAACAATCTAGATAGCTTTAAAATTAGAACAAACTAAGTCATTAACTGGATGAGCACCAGATGTCTTTTTAATTATCTCTTTAAAGTAGAACTTAAATACATTTTTATCAGATTTCCAATTTCCATTTTTAATGATTATATCTAAAGGAACATTGTTCTCCTGCCTTGAGGAGGCTACGGCAGATCCTATACTTCCAGGCGAAAAATCAATACCAAGATGCTTTAAAGCAGATTTTACCCATCCTGCAATTGTGGCTCTAGTTGCAGACTTTACAATTCCGCGTGTAGATACAAACAAAGATGTCAATTTGTTTCTTGCCTGTCTTCTAGAGGCTGACAAATCAATCAGTCTTTTCGTCCAATATATGTGATCTAGAGACTTAATCGAATCTTTAGATAAATGCCAACCTGATTGTTGATGATTAATCTTATCTGTTTTTGAACCATATACGGGCCAAAAGGTAACGGAATCCTCACTCAGCTTTAGATGATCATCATCAATCCTTAGAAGAGTAAGATCGTGTATTCTTCTACCCGACGCCAGCAAAAGAAGCAGTGCCATATGGTGGGATACTTCAAATAGACTATCTTCATTAATAACTGAGGTTTTCATCCAAGCAATCAGCTGTTTGACATCCCAGATACATTTCTTCGACGATGAAGGATGAGAATTCTCTATTGCTCGAATAATATGTTTCACCAAAGGGTGACTGGAAATTTCTTCCCTTCTTAAGGGTCAGCCATAGTAGCTATAACAGATTTGTGTAATTTTATTGTTCTAGGTGCGAAGTGTTATACTCTATGTAAAAAACTAAGATATTGGGTTACATCAGCTGGATCAGGTTTCTTCGGATCCAGGTTCATTTTATTACATCTCGTTACCGCACGTCTAAAACTGCAAAAAAATGTAACACATAGCATTCTATACACTGATATGACTGATTTTAAAAAAGTAACTTGCTTGATTTTAAAAATTATTAAAAATATTACTCCTATAGTATAGTGTGTTGTTATACTACTCTTGGCTGTACTGTCGTTGTAGATAAATCATCTTGAAATTTAATGCGAATAACTTTAAATTCATTTCCATCGATAGTAGTAAAATTTTATAATAATTTTAAGCACTCGCTTTCGGACGGAAGCAAATGTTGTAATGAAAATTGCTTGCCTATTGCATGCCGAGCACAAAGCGCATAGGTATGTTCTACTAGTGCCTAAAAATCAAGATTCCAACGTTTTTTCGCATGAAATCGTATCTAACAATCATATTATACATATAAATGATATAAAAAGCACATCGTCAGAAAGATAAATGATTGTTGAACTTATTAATATTTTTTTAAATCGACTAATTGCTATTTTTACATAAAAAAGGGGTTTTAGTAGCTTATGGTGGATTTATCAACTTTTGAAAATATCAATTTTTACGTCAATCTATTTTTTAATCTCTATCATGTGGGAAGCCACTGAATGTAAATGGGAGTGTAATTTTGTTTTGTTTAGCTATAATTAATTTTTTTCGGCTCCAAAATGGCGAAATTTTCGTTGATTTGGTAGCCTTGTGTGAGAATTTATTTCAGTAAATAGAGACTGCCTGTGCCTCCTTGCTTAGTTCGGCGTCAACCGCCGTTGTAAGTGGATACTGTAACGGTTGTTTGCAGCGGCTCAAAAAGATCGCTGTACAAATAAATACAAAATATTTGTAAAAAAAATTTCATACATACTTGATTATTATAATAATCGGAGATTTTTATTACAATATTTTAAAAGCACAAAATAAATAATAGGAGTACGTACTAAAAGTAAGTAGGATGTAATATTTATACTTGAATACGTCTTGCACTTTTTGGAGTGACATGAATGATAATATGATGATCATATGAGCATTATGAGTCGTGCACTTTGGATTTTCCAAACTTTTTCAAATTGAAGTTTGACATAAAATTATCGGAAAATTGGAAGTATGATAAGGTTATTAGTGAAAACTTGTGTGTATTTAAACTACTTTAAAAAAATTCCGTATAATCATGCTATACGTATTTTTTTTAATGCGAAGGCATGCTCAAATGGATTTACCAATAGTTTTTTGATTATACTCTCGTGAAGTCGTGAAAACGCAAACATGCAATATTCTAGTGTTTAAGTGGTGCTTAATGCACGGTGGATTTATTCTTGCATCAAAACCCTCTCAGGAATCAATAGGTTAAGAAACAGTTTACGTAAAATGTCTTGCAAGTCTGCAAAACAGTTTCTTAATATGTTTTCTGTATACAGTTGAATAAAGTTAACTTTTATCAGGTTATTAGTATTACTATTTTGTACTGTTTAATTGAAGTTGGCAAAAAATTACGTCACATACATTCGTTCGATATTATCGAGCAGATGTACGCGAAGCAATTTTTTACCAACTTTAATATAATGGACTTCCGCAAAGTAACGCCTGATTCTATTAATTAACTGTTTAATTGACCAACCTCTAAGCCATCAACACCTTTATTACATTTATATCAATAGCAACCTGTAGCAGCTGTCATATCGCCACAAGCATAAGCCTATATCACACTATCGAAGTTTTAAAACTACTTCAATATAATATATAGAAAAACTTTCCTGCTACACAGAGCATTTGTTGCTGAACACCTTGACGCTCAGGAGATATCTCCTTTTCTTTCTATGGCCAAAGAGGTGATAACTGGACTAGATGTGAATGTCAAGCACAGGCAACCTGAAAGCTTCGGAAATTTCAAGTTTTCGTCAGCGTCCTCAATAACCGCTTTCATTTGCTTCTAAGATGATAACATCTACAGTATTCAGCATCGTCTCTTCTATCCTTCAAGCCATTCTCTGCGCTACAGTGTTTGGCACGCCTCTTTTAAACTATATTGATCATCTTTGCTTCACGGCACTCTCACTGATTACTTACCTTCTTCTAGATTCACCCTTTACTACTTAGGTACCTGTACCTGGTACTTGTATCTTTTAAATCACACTGTTGAAGTTTCTAAACTACTACGTCGTATATTCGTGAACTCGTACTAGTCGCTTTAATACTGAATATCTTGCCCGGCTGGCGATACCCTATATCTTATTAAATGTGCATTAGTATATTTTTCTTTTTTAGTTTAACGCTATGGATTTTACATTTTGACCGTACAGAAAATCCTTTGCTGTGAATTATTAGAATAATTTTATATTTTTGTATCCTGACAGCTGAAACCTGCAAAACTATTATCAGCAGGCTTAGAGGCTTCATTAAAAAGGGCCAACCACCCTTTCCATTTTTTGCGTAATATTCTAATATATTTTTGCTGAGCCATAGAAGAATTTTTAATCAAACTAAAACCTAATGGTGGGTAATAATAAAGAGCTTCAAACGGATATTCGAACAGAGTTATTCATATTTTGAAATATGAGAAATTTAAAGGACCATAAATAAAAATACAATGTTCTTTTTTAAGTAATTCTCTATGCATTTTTTACCTACTCCAAGTAAAAATTCATCTATTGTCCATGGCAGTGTACTTACGAAGGATAATTATTATACATTGTAACTTCAGGCTCAGAAGGGCTAGAACCCAGAGCCGTAAAGCCAGTTATTACAAAAATTGTCCATGGCTCCATGGTCTTGCTTTTGCTTGCTGTCAAGTCACAAATTGGAAAATGGCCGCGAAACAAAATTCTATTGTGAACGATGGTAAAGTTTCGTTATAAGTAGTTTACGTTGTGCTATTCTGCATTGATAAATGTCATTTTATTTTCTTAAATTTTATTAATTCTAATCGTAAATTAATCAGTGTAATATTTGTACCTTCAATGAACACTGTTTTATTTCAGGGCAAGCAACATCTGAAGATATTCCTTTGACATCCTTGGAAGAAAGTCTCCTTAGCTTAGAAAAGCTCGACCGTGCTTCGCCTGAACTTTGGCCAGAGCAAAGTAAGTTTATATTGCCCTTTCTTTAAATCATAAAATTAGTTGAAGATCGAAGTGATGAATTTCAAAATCCCCGCGATTTACGTTTCATTTTTAATGTTGTCATCCCGTCCTCCATTACGTCCATGCCCATTCCATTCATTTTTGGGGTTTCAGTTATAACGTCCGTATTTCAAAAGCATTTAAAATGAGTGACGGCAATAGTAATTTTTCGAATAACGATGAAAGCTCTCAACGTTCAAACGATTCTTTTGTAGTTCCTGGCGTATCGGAGTTTGCAAACCTACAAAACGATAACCAATCGCCGCCGTCTTGGAAAGGACTTACCAAAGATGATTACAGCTACATGCAACGTAAGTTCTGAAAAGTATTTTATTATTTTTAATATGTCATATATTATGTTTATAAATTATTTTATATAAGTACAATAATAATCCCAATTTAAGTTTTTTGTTACCTTTTGTCTGTCTGGAAAGTGTAAGTTTTACAGTTTAAGAAATATTAAATCAATTTTCTTCACAAGCATAATTCTTTGACAATATTAATTTTCTAATTAGGAAGTGTATGGTAGATTTTGTTTGAAAACAAGTTTAGTTTGCATTTGTCGTGATAAAATAAATTTAAATTTAGGTAAAATTTATTTTACAGAACTTGGGTCTTTGTCTACCAGTGGCCTCATAATGGAAGTAAAAAGACTTCATGATCTTGCTTATCAACTTGGACTTGAAGAGGCGAAAGAAATGACTAGAGGAAAATATTTAAATATATTCTCATCTAGGCGACAAAGGTAGTCTAGCTATGAATTTAATATGTATAACTTTAAGTGACTGAGATTTTAAGAATATAGTGATAATATAAATTTCAAGTTATGCCTAAATAAGTTATTGATTTCCATAGACCTTTATCTTACAAGTTGTGATTATGAATTTCAACAGTTAGAGTTCTAAATTTGTATCTAAACTGAGCACTTTAAAACACACATTTTTATGTTGGGACTTGGATATGAATGGTAATACCCATTTTCATTAACTATAACTAGCATAAATGACAGAGTACTTATAATTTTTATTTGCTTAATTCTACAGTGCAAACATCACATCTACTATTATAGTATTTTCATTAATAAGTTGACTATTTTATTGGGAGAAATTTTTTAAAAATAATATAGTGATGTGTAGTATAGTTTATAAGCAAATTTATATAGGACTTATGGTCCTAAATTTTAAGTTTTTCGAGTAGGTTTGCAATAACTTCTTTTTCTGTCCATCAAATCCTGCCAACCTATTTAACTACAAAAGAACAAACACAGATCTCTTCTGTTATAATTTTTCTTGCAATTCAACATTCAAACTGAATTTTGGTCACGGCGGCCAATCTCTACAGAGACTAGCCATTTGCACAGGACAGGATTATAGTTCCCGATTGTATGTGTAAGCACAGGTGCACTCTCTATTCCCTCACCCTCATAATCCGTTGGGACTGTAATCCGACATGATTGGACTATAGATCAGGTGCAGGACCAACGGCTATATGTGCTTTCTGAGGCACGGGGATAAAACATCGCTAACTTTCTGACTGTGGGCCGCTACTGAGAAAATCTTAAGAGAAAAAGCCAATAACTCGTTTTTGGTCTGACCTGGGATTCGAACACAGGACCTTATGATTAGCAATCGCATTTACACCACTAGACCAATGAGGCAGTCATGTTTCATGTTTTAATATTAAAAGAAGGAATATTTTGCAGCAACAGCTCTGCAACTTGGTTTCCATTACAAAATATGTAAAATAATTCATACTCATACAATACCCTACAATTATAGATAATTACTTGTTATAGTATCTTATATCTTGGATAATATTATCTGTTTGTACTATGTAATACATGCATATGTATGTAAAACATAAACATTTAAATAAGATATTTTTTGTAATATGGATGCTGCAAAATTATGGTGCTATTATTACACCAAACTGCATTTACTATTCTTTAGTAAACTGCATAATTAATGTTTTATTATTTAATGTATATTAATAGATATTGTATAAAATTACTGGTAGTATTAAGGTAATATTTAAAAAAAAATAACTTTTTAGGTGGAATTAATGCTTAATGTGAATAAACAAAATGTTTATTTAGCTTCATTGTTTTTTCATTTCGATTTAAATGTAGACAGTAATTATAATATGCTCTTTCAACTAAGTTAAAATGCTTATGTAAAATAAATATGCTGAAATGTATAGCTTCTGAATTAGGCAACAGTATATACATACATATATTTATATGTACCATTACCATACCATTTAAATAAAAATAGCTATGTAATTAATACTGCTGGTTTTAAGTGAGTTGAAGAGAGAAAGAAACAATTTGGGCACAAATCAATTAACCTTAACAATATAAAAATATGTAAAAAAAAAAGTATAAAATATGAGACTCGACTTTTTACTTCAAAAGTCATCCCAATAAATAATTATCACTTAGTATGAGTTGTGATAAACCACAACGTCGATTTTCAGTACTAACCAAAGCCTTGGACAATAGAGTCCGAAGATCATTAAAATAAAGGGATCAAGAAAAAATATATCATAATATTTTTACTTTGTATTGTATCCCCAAGTGAGGGATGCTAGCCGCCAGGCATATACGCTTTCCTCCTCCTTAATATTAAAAATATAAGGTAGTGATTTTATAAACAAAATAAAAAAATAAAAGCACAATAAAATGTGGAAATATAAACTATGGGGCACGGCATCCACTTACCGACAGGTGGGTGGGTTGTGTGCTCGATTATCAACTATAAGGTCTGTGAAAAAGTTTCTTCGTATTTTATATACAAATTCAAGACTTTTTTTTTTCAGATAATTATAATATATATGAGCCGTTTTGTTAGTACATAATGACAATCCTGTTACTGTAGAAATCTTGGGATTTTTTTTTACAAAAAAATGCGACAAGTAGTTTTAACAGTCCTCTCTTAACGTTAACACCACCCAAAGAATTCTGAAGAGACCGAAACAGGTGAAAATCTGACTGTGTAAGCTCAGACCATATGGATGCTTTAACACTTCCCAACCAAGCTTTCTCAATTTATGCTGAGTGGCCAAAGATGTGTGTGGTCTCGTGTTATCATGATGAAAGACCACTCCTTTTCTGTTGATCAATTCCGGACGATTTTAGTTGTTGGCAGTAAAGATACGAATCGATGGTTTTACCCGGCGGTAAAAGCTCATAATAAACGATGCCCTTCCAATTCCACCAAAAAAAAATTTTAAGGGCGACCAGAGCGAGCTGCATCTTTGACATTGAAATTCCTGGCCTGAAAACGTTTAAACCAACTTTGTACTACTCTTACTGACAGTGTATGAGGTCCATAAACATCACATTTATTTTTCGCGGCCCGAGTCGCATTTTTCCCTTTTTTATTATAAAACTGCAGAATCAAAGATTTTTGTCTAAAACATCTTTGTGCAGAATGTATCGAATTTCCTCTAGTCTCATTTTGGCGAACAGAAAAACAGTTGAAAAATGGCGGGAAAGTGTTTTTTAACTTTGTTTTTTTTTTCCTAGTGTCCCATACATGGAGTATAGAGTCTACTTTATACTCCATGGTCCCATATTAAAACCAGCCAGATACAAACAGACTTTTAGGTAAAACTTATAGACAACCGGTACTCGCGTACGAGTGTGGGCGGCGGGGAAGGTTTCAGGGAAAGCCCCCCTTGCCGAAATGTGTAGTTTGAGTAATAATTTTTTTTGTAAAATCATAACCTCACTTTTTACACGGGTATATTGACTCAAAGCTCAAAGTTACTTCTACAACGGCTTCGGCGCTGCCGGAAGTGCAGTCCCTTCGCCCTTGCGTAGGAAATCACAGGCACCCATGCTCACCTCCGCAGCTTCGGCTACGGCTCACACAGGTGCTTGCGATTTGCTACAGCGGGCGGGGGCTGCTCTCCCTCCGCGCCTACGGCTTTACAAAATCACTCTTAGGGGTAGGGCAGACAAGACTACGAGGGTCGGGGCTTTCTGTTTCGAATTTAGTACAGATTTGACCTATTTTATCTATAAAGTCAGGTTGCCCTAAACTCTGCCATAATAGTGTTAAATTAAAGAATGTAATGTGAGTTGTTATAATTTTTGTTTTCTGAAAAAACCTCTTGACTGCTCTCTACTGCGATTCAATTTGTTGTGTATGAGTCCCATCTTCAGCCACAAATGGATTGTTTGCTTCCGAGCAATAAATTTTTTATGGGTGGCCTGTTTCATTATATGCAATTTTTCTGTCAATGAACTTTATTTTTATCGTAATTAATTCTAAACACATTTCCGAAATCCAAAAACAGTAAAAAGGTTCAAGCTTAACCCTGACAAACCTACTAAACTGAAAACATAATTAAAATCAAGGACCGGACGTCTAACTCATAATACTCAAAGAGATTTAAATATATACGTATACTCGTACTATAGAGCGGACATTGGGAACATTTATATACAAAAACTTTGAGCTAGTGCGCGTGTGGTACCTTCTAGCTAAAAATAGCAAAACAACGCTAAGCATCAACAACAACACATTTTTGGTATTCCTCAGTAGGTGACGCTAATAAATATAACCTCGTTTTAGGAATGTTTGCGTTTCGATATCAAAGCATCGATAATGTCGTTGAAGATTACTAAGTTTGAAATGCTTCTCGATATAATAATAGGGAATATACATGATTGTTTTATTGTATAAATCTATTTATCATGACTTCCTTCACACGAAAAAAATCATATTAACTTTTTACGCCCCTTTAGTGTCATGAAATAAAATATTTAATTTCCAATAACTAAGAATTAATTCAAACATCAGTCACTTTGGTTACCACATTGGTGGCATGACGTCACTCAGTCCATTAGCTGCTATAATAATAGCATATGATTGATCGGCCGGCGTTAAAAGACACATCGAGAAACGCCAAATTATATCATTAGATCATAAATACTACCACTGCTGGACACGGATCTCCCATTGTAGACACGCTTGGCGGACGGCATCAGAGGCTTGTTTATCCTGATACATGCTTGGCGGACAGTATCAGACTTGTTGTCGCACCTTTGACATAACCCTGTCTCTGGTCTGAATAATTATTTGGTTTGTTCGCTTCCGTTCTGGAAGTTTCGATCACAACCAAATTATTACAACGGGCGTCTAAAGTCTAGTCAAAATGAAAGCGGAGCAGTAAGTGACAGGAAGAGGCTGAAGAATAAAAAAATACGGTTTGAAGGTTTTTCATCATTTTTAATTTTCGTACCTATGTCTTGGAAGCTAATCCAAGGGTGTGGAGTTGTAGAGCATCCAAACATGACCGAAAACTTGTCCTAGAAACACCCCCCCCCCCCCCCCCCCGAACGGGTTTCCGCCTGGTCGTGGCAGAGGGGCTTAGTATGACGGACTTGGTGGTGACCATATTTTGTTCACCGAGCACCTACGGTTACACGAAGCACCCAAAACTGGTTGATCGCCCGTGGAATTGACTTTATCGGACATGAAGACTGGCCCTCTTCTAGTCCAGATTTAAACCGACTTGATTACAAGATATGGCTACATTTGGAGGAGAAAGTCTGCGCTAAACCTCATCAGAATTTGGAATCTCTCCGATCCGAGCATCTTTGGCTAAAGCAGCGTCAGAAATAGGTATGAATGTGGTGCGTGCTGCGATTGATAACTGGGCATGTATTCAAAATAGGGTATTTTGAATAATGTAAATAAAATTGTATTCTAAATTAAATGACCTCTCATTTCATATGTAA